TAACTGATTCTCCTTTTTCTTCTCCCTCTTCCCCTATCCTCTTTCTTTTTCTCTTCTGGGTTGTCTTTCTTTCCTCTGCCTTGTGCTTCTGTTCCTTCATTTATTTTATCCCCCCCACCTCTGTGTTCTCGCTCTCCCTCTGTGAGCACCTAGCTCCCTTGCAGTGTTCCCCGTTCTTAGTATTTGACTGGCTCCTCCTTCTTACTTCCACACTACTACTTCCTTCCACCACCGTTGCTACTACTACTACTACTACTACTACTACTACTACTACTACTACTACTACTACTACTACTACTACTACTACTACTACTACTACTACTACTACCACTACCACTTCCTGCCTATAAATACCCATCCTGCTCTACTTCTCGTTAGTGTGACTTTGTAAATGGTCCAAGTCGAACCGAAACGTCGTCCTAAGCTCCTCTCTTCTATGTGCGGGTTATTTGTGTATCAGTCAGAATAACCGTTTTTACAACACAGCTGAACCCCTTTGAAGGAAACTTCTTCACCGTTATCTTACATAGCAACAAACCTACATGCCCATTCCAGACACGTTCTTTTCAAATCCTACCTCTTCTCAGCAATCTCTACCTAACCCTTCGCGTCACTATGCTCCTTATATATACTTATGTTCTCATACCTGAACTGATAAAGTCCACTGTGTGGACGAAATGTAGTCAGTAAAGGATGTCATTATAGGGTCAATTTTTCCACAGCTCATACATAACCAGGAGAGTACAAACATAATTTACGTCCGTTCGCAAACAATATCATTGTCCCAGACGGTGGTAGAAAAAAAAAAAAAACAGTTTCGTTGCCATGACTTGCTTAGTCTTGTTGTTAGTGTTATCCATAAGTAGTTAATGCAGGCAGCAGTCTTCACAAGCAAGTAGGAGAGCAACAGTATGATGCTCGCACTACGTCACGTACAGCTCTCAAAAAAACATTGTTGACTCACCCTAACTTTGGTAATCATTGCTGAATCCACGGTATAGCAAATTGTTTTAGGTAACTTAAAAACAGATAACCATAAATAGGTCTAAGGATACTTAACAAATGATTAAGTAAATAGCGTTATAAGTTATATAATAAATAAAAAAAAAAAAATAATGTATCTCCTCACTGTACCATTCACTGCTATCTAGTGTCTCGCAGTGTCCTACATTCTGCCATAGAGACAGGAGCTACCGTGGCAGCTAATTCTTTGGTTTTGTGGAAGCCACAAGAGCTGCTGTAGCAGTGAAGACTTGTGTTGTCCCACACAGTTCTGCAGTGGAAGCTGGATCAGTTTTCCAGTCTTACAACACACAACACCTAAGGAACATAAACATCTTGAAGTTCAGAAGCCTTTACTGATATACTTCTCCTTGATTCGGAACACTTTCAGTATTAAAACTCACACGCATAACAACAATGTCCAAGTGCAGACTAACCGGCGATACCAAGGTGGAAAATAATGGGTACTGTAATAGAGCTTTTTATGAGGAGGAAATGAGTGAAAGTGTTCAGCGAGATGAAGACACTTGCATTGAGATGGAATATCTGGAAGGAAAAGGCATCACCTCGCCAGAATTCGACGCTACTGTTTCTGATTTTCGTAATAGACCACAATGCGAGAACACTGTCATTTACACTGTCTGGAATGGTGTCTACAAAGGAGAATCAGATGCTAAAAAGAGGGAAAATGAAAATCACAAGGAAAGTGTCATTAATGCAAAAGAAGAGGGCCAAAAGCAGCATCAGATTTCTCCGGAAACGGATCATCACCCAGGAGCCCCAATTTCCGAGAAGCCTCCAGGTCCTCCGAGACCCGCAGCGTCGAACATCGCGAAATTCGACAGTGAAAAAGACAATTGTACTAATGGTGAAGATAAAGAAGTGCCAGACGGAGGCTGGGGCTACGTGGTCACCGCTGGATGTTTCATCAATATGGTGAGGGAACACAAATTCGTGGTTTGTCCTATTTAATCCTTTTTTTGTCATCCGTAAGAGTACCATTTTACATAAGAAGCCTGATATTTAAGATGGGTTTTAACTCTGTTAATCTATCGATAATTTTTTTCTCCTTCTCGTATTTGTTTGCAGTCATGAGAAAGTTTGTAATCTTCGTGAAGTTCTCTGTCTGTCTTCGCCTATAGCTGAAGCGCTGTTACTTCTCCAACTTTTATTATTTTTTAAATGATTTGAAAGAGCTAAAGCAAATTATCATTGAACTATATGTTTCAATTGAGGGGTGACTAGTAACTGTGAGGTGATTCAGGATGCGGATACAGGTTACCTGGCTACCTGAGGTGACTGGTGACTCGTCTCAGTAAGGTGACATGACAGCAGTTATACAGCTAATTTCTCTCTTCCTACATCAATATAACTCAGGGTTTAAAATATGTAAAAAAAAATGATGACAGAATTAGCCTGGAGAATGTCGCAGGTTGAGGTTGTTCGTTGTAAAACTACCCCCGTAATTCACTGCTGTTTCTGATGATTTATATCTCACAGTCACAGCTACTCATTATCTGCCACTCCATTCGAAAACCAACACATTGGTGTACGTTACTAGGAGAAAATTTACTTAGGTACAAACAGTAAAGAATGACAAAAGGAGAATAATGTATTGTATATCTTCTTAACAAATAATGAATATCTTGTAGGGTTGACGAGTTAGGTTCTCCTATTGTATTTCCGCGCGTCAGGTACCGACTAGGATAATTATGTAACATTGTGTATATTACTTTATCTCATGTTGCTTTAAACTCCATTTTACGGAAAATTATATAATACTGCATACATATTTTTAATTTACCTGTGCTTAAATATTATGTTTGGTTTGTTACTTTCACATAAGACTGAGGAAATTAATGTTCTCCTGTTAAAAAAACCCAGTAAGATGCTCCACTTACACAAAGTAGTGACGTAGTGCACCTCGCTTCGTTGAATATTTTACCTGGCTGTGTATGATGTTATTAATGAGCAGACTGCCATAATTAATTTTAAAAAGTGACTGTGGAATTCAGCGTATTACATGTTAGACACATGTGCAATATCTGAGTATCTTAGTTGTAGAATTTTCTCCAACCAGTGGCTTTATCAATACAAGGACATAATCTGAAGACTACAAAAGATGAGGTAACAGTCCCTAATCCATGGAGTTGGTGAAGTGCACCGTAGTCTTCAAGACTACTGTGCTCTTCAGTAACTCCGAGGCTGAGGGACTGATTACCTCATTTTTTGTACATATTTCAGAGTAAAGATGCCCAAATGCTGCAGGTTTCTAATTCTTCTTCACAACAATTCGTGAGGGAGTGTCTCAGGGTGACCCACTGGGAAAGACGTTGGAGAGAACTGTGCTGGATGTTAGTACTGGAGGCCACTTCTGTAGTGATGGTTGGGGCAAAAGGTTGATTTGTCAGGAATAAGGTGTAATGATGAAAAATAATGCCTTATGTAATAAGTGTACCACTATTCGATCTACAGATATGTTAGGAATGGTAGATGCTGGTTCAGTACTAAATAGGAAGTGCTATCTTCTTCACTGTTCTCACAACTAAGTTTTTTTATTAACACATCGGCCGTTTCCCACCAAGGCAGCGTGGCCCGAAAAAAAACTTTCATCATCATTCACTCCATCACTGTCTTGCCAGAGGCGCACTTACACTACAGTTATAAAACTGCAACATTAACACCCCTCCTTCAGAGTGCAGGCACTGTACTTCCCATCTCCAGGACTCAAGTCCGGTCTGTCGGTTTCCCGACATACATTTATGAAGAGATTCATCTCTTCATAAATGTATGTTACCTTGCTTACACTCCAACAGCACATCAAATCCTAAAAACCATTTGTCTTCATTCGCTCCCATCTAACACGCTAACGCACGCTTGCTGGAAGTCCAAGCCCCTCGCACACAAAACCTCCTTTAACTCCTCCCTCCAACCTTTCCTAGGCCGACCCCTACCCCGCCATCCCTCTACTACAGATTTATACACTCTCGAGGTCATTTTATTTCGTTCCACCCTCTGTACATGTCCAAACCATCTCAATAACCCCTCCTCAGCCCACTGGATAATAGGTTTGGTAATCCCACACGTCCTCCTAATCTCCAAACTACGGATTGTCTGCATTATATTTACACTACACATTGCCCTCAGGCATGACATCTCCACTGCCTCCAGCCTTCTCTTTGTTGCATCATTCCAACCCATGCCTCACACCCATACAAGAGTGTTGGTATAATTATACTCTCATACATTCCCCTCTTTCCTTTTATGGATAAAGTTCTTTGTAACCAAAGACTCCTCAGTGCACCACTCACCTTTTTCACATCATCAGTTCTATGATTCACCTCATCCTTCATAGACCCATCTGCTGACACGTCCACTCCCAAATATCTGAACACATTCACCTCTCCCATACTCTCTCCCTCCAATCTGATATCCAGTCTTCCATTACCTAATATTTTTGTTAGCCTTTTGTATTCCACAGGGTCCTCCCTAGTCCTTCATTCGAATGCCTGAACATAGACAAGACGTATGTCTGCACCCAACACTGAACTGTACCTAGTACCTTGTATACCTAGTATACCTAAATATACATTGAAGTAAATAACTAACGTCTCTCTAACTATTCTACAAGAAAACACCAGCTTCTAATATATACATGAAAATAACAACTATGTTGATTATTTCAAAAAAAATTTAATATCCCAGAATGTCAATAAAATACTTTAAAACCTAAATATTACCCAGGCTATATATTCCGTCTTTATATATTTTACACTTATCAATTCTATAATCATCAGAGAAGTCTGCTGGTAGGTAATCACTATATAAAACAAATACTAATAAAAACGATAAATAAAAACCATAGAGTTTGTGTTTTTGTTGCATTACTAACCTTATAATTTGTAGAAGATAAATATTTAAATACATTCTGTATTTAGGGCTGCGATAATATTTTCATTAAATTCAAAATATAATTTATATTGAAAACTGCGAAAAGAATGCTATATAAACTCAGTGGTTATAATCATAACCTTAATGTTTAAACAGGTGGACTGGTAAGCTAGCGGAAGGCTCGGTCAGATGATCAGGAAACACTTGTCCTGTTTCCTGATAAATCTTATCTAATCTGCTAAGTAAATGTAAAGAATGTCGAAATTAGTAGGCCTGTTTTACTGTACTTCCATGCCTCTTTAATATTATGTACAGATTAGATTAGATTTTGCCACCAAAGTGGCTAGTTTATTGTGCACCCCATATCCATCCTGTGGACGGTAGCGCGAGAGCATATGGATACACAAAAGGCCTAAGAACTAGGCCCCCAAAGGGTTAACAGGAATACATATGGATTTATATCTACATATCTATAGTTCACTTATCTGTTACAAGCAAATTTAGGAAATTTGCTTAGTATATCTGGTATCTTATTTTCATTAATAAGATATCTTGACATGTCACATAGGTTATTATACTGTCTGTCTCTGTATTCCTCAATAAGTGGACAATTAAGCACATAGTGTTCAAGAGAGTGACCATATGTCTGATCACATAATTTACATTTAGTTTGATCATCATCTGTGTGTCTCCCAAACTGCCAGAAGTACTTGTAACCAAGCCTAAGCCTGGCCACTACAACATCAGTCAGTCTGTTCACATTGCAAGTTGCTCCATAAACATACTTATCTACGTTCATGTTATCATAGTGGGTTATAGATCTACTCAGGCTTCTAACTGCATTCCTATAACAATCATTTTCATTATTTACTTCTCTCCTAATATTATTCCTAATGCTAGACACAGTTATACCAAAGTTATATTCTACATTCTCCTTCTCGATACTCTTCTTGTTTATTATGTACAGAACAGTACTATACATTGTATATGTATTCTGAAACTATGAGATGTCATGTTTTCTCTCTCCAGAATATTGCAAACATCTATGGTCCTTGTTTTGGCGTTCTCTTCTCCTCATTTTTGCTGGACTTGGAAACATCGTCAACCACAATCACGTGGATCTATAATATACAAAGCTTCATATTTAGCTTGGCCGCTCTGTTCTTAGCACCGTTGGTGGATCACTTCGGGTGGAGGCGGGTGGCAGTCACAGGCGGAGTCCTCTGTAGTGCTGGCTTGATAACCTCTGCCTTCGCAACCTCAGCTTGGTTCCTCGTACTCTCATATTCTACATTGGGAGGTGTGTGCTCCTGGCGTATGAATACTGCTTTTACAAATCTGCAAACATTATGTATAAACTTTTATTTTGAGAAAATATAAATATACCTAAGTGTATGTATACACGAGCGCATACCCATATTATCATAAATGAACGCATACGCATAATTATTCTAAATAATCTTCTAATTTCAGCTATTGGTAATAGTGCGACAACTGTAATACCTTACATAGTCTTGCCAAATTATTTCAAACGGCGTCGTGGTCGAGCCAACGCCTTCATGATTGGGGGAATTTGCACGGGGCAGATGCTTGGGCCGCCCTTGGTTACGTACCTGCAGGAGAAGTATGGGTTCAAGGGCGCCACTCTCATCATTGCCGCTATCATGCTGAATGCCTGTGCAGCCTCCGCCGTGTTCCATCCAGTAGAGTGGCACACCGAGAACCCTGGTAAACTTAGTAAGTTTAGTAATAAGAGGTCATCAAGCCGTAACCAAGAGTTTGGTGTCAGTGTGACTCTTGTAAATATAATCTATTCTACTGGTAGAAATTTCAAGATTCTCCAATCAATGAGAACTGTTATCTTCGCCGTAGGAAACTGCTTTCTCCTTAGCAGTTACCTAAACTTCTTCATGCTGATTCCGTTCGTGATGGAGGCTGGAGGGTTCACGCAGGAGGAAGCATCCTGGTGTATGTCTGTGTCTGCATTGTCCAACCTGGCGACGCGTCTGCTTGTGTCCTCTCTGGCGGACTGGTCCTGGTTCAGCATGCGTGGCTGCTTCATGACCGGCATCTTTGTCGTTGCCGTCTCCACCGCCGGTAAGTTAAATGAGTCTTCGGGCAGGAACTAATGTTAGCATTTTAAACCTTTCAACTAATGTGATGACTAGATCATAAATAAATTTGAAGATACTATGGATATACTAAAGGTTAGCAGAAAATATTATTATGGAGAGCCTTAACTGAACATGAGAAAGGTAGACAGAAGGTTGGCTGGTACAAGTCTATGGACACTCGAGGGTCATTGTGGCTGCATGTAACCTGCTCACCACCAATCAAGAATATATGAATCCCAGATATAAACGTATTGAGATTAAAGTAAACTAAAAGTGTATCTGTAGTGAGCTACGTATCTCTCAAGAGAGCTAAAGTTGTCACATGTGTAAAAGAATTAACAAATAACAAGAAAAAGAAAGAAAATCCCCAAAAAGAAAATACTTCCATTATCATTCAACACTTTCACCACACTCACACATAATCACTGTTTTTGCAGAGGCGCTCAGACACAACAGTTTAGAAGCACAATATATCCCTCCAAACTGCTAATATTCCAAACCCCTCCTTTAGAGTGCAGGCATTGTACTTCCCATTTCCAGGACTCAAGTCCGGCTATATAAAATAACCGGTTTCCCTGAATCCCTTCACTAAATATTACCCTGCTCACACTCCAACAGATCGTCAGGTCCCAAATACCATTCGTCTCCATTCACTCCTATCGAACACGCTCATGCACGCCTGCTGGAAGTCCAAGCCCCTCGCCCGCAAAACCTCCCCTACCCTTCCTTCCAACCTTCTCGAGGACGACCTCTACCCCGCCTTCCTTCCCCTACAGATTTATAAGCTCTCCATGTCATTCTACTTTGATCCATTCTCTCTAAATGACCAAACCACCTCAACAAACCCTCTTCAGCCCTCTGACTAATACTTTTATTAACTCCACACCTTCTCCTAATTTCCACACTCCGAATTTTCTTCATAATATTTACACCACATATTGCTCTTAGATAGGCATCTCCACTGCCTCCCCTTCCCTCCTGCAACATCATCCCCCATTTTTTAACCCCAAAAAGGCAGGTAAAACTATACCCCATCCCCCCTCTTCCTCCAGGAAAATTTTTGTCTCCCAGCTCCTAATGCCCCACCCCCCCTTTTCCCCTCCAATCTTGATTCACCCTCTTTTCAAGCCCCATCCGGACACGTCCACCCCCAAATTTTGAATACATTCACCTCCTCCTACTTCTCCCCCCAAATTTGATATCCAATTTTCATCACCTAATCTTTTTGTTACCCTCATAACCTTACCTTTCCGTTTTATTTTTTTTTCTTTTTTTTGCACCCCCTTTACCAAATTCATCCACCAATCTCTGCAATTTCCTTCAGAATCTCCCAAACACATTTGTCATCAGCAAAGAGCAACTGGACAATCCCCCTTTTTTGTATTCTTTATCTTTTAACTCCCCCGCCTCTTGCCAAACCCCCGATTTACTTTTTACAACCCCTCTATAAAAATATTAAAAAAACCCGGGGACTCCACTCCCTTTTCTAAGGCCTCTTTTTATGGGGAAAAAATTTCCCCCTTTCCCCACATACTCTAACTTGGCCTCACTTCCTCTAAAAATCTTCACTCTTTCGTAACCACCCCCTACACCATACACCTGCAACATCGGGCCCATTGCCCCCCACCCCCTGTCATACGCCTTTTCCAAATCCATAATGCCCCCAAAGACCCCTTTAGCCTTTTCTAAAACTGTTCACTTTTATGTTTCCTGAAAAAACCTGGGCCACACACCCCCCCCTTCCCAAGCCTCCCTTTTTCATTGCATCCATTTTCCTCTTACTCTTAATTCTTTTAAAAATAACTCACCCTACACTTGCCATTTATCAAAAAGCCTTACCCCTATAATTTTTTCACCTTTTTATCCCCTTTTTCCTTTTTTACAAAGGAATGCATCCTCGCCATCCCTAGGTACCTTACCCCTTCCCAAAATTTATTAAATAATTAACCCCAAACCCCTCCCAAAAAAAATTCCCCACCTTTTTTAAATTTCTATCTTTATCCCTCTTCCGGCTGCCTTACCCCCTTTCTTTTTCCTACTACCCCCACGAACCTCCCCACACTCAAACTGGCTCTTTTCACTTACAAGAGTGTTCCCCTTGCCCATCACAAATCCGCTTCCCTATCTTTTATCAAATTTTAAAAAATTCCTCAAAATAACCTCCATCTTTCCCATACCTAACTCTCCATTTAATAACTCCCTCTCCTTTTTTTAATGACAAAACCTTTTTTCTCTGGCTTTTTATTTTAATCTCCTCCAAAACTTTTTTTTTTTTTCAACAAAATTTGTTGATAAAATCCACCCCTCTCTCATTTGCTCTCTTTTTCATTGCTTCACCCCTCTCTTAACCTCTCTCTTTTCTCCATATACTCTTCCCCTTCCATTCACTTGTAAAAATTCTCAAAGCTAACTTTTTCTTTTCCCCTTTCTACTTCTTCAATCATATTCCCCCAATCGTCCTTTCCCTCCCGCACCCACTTTTTCCCGTAACCACAAACTTCTGCTGAACCTCTAACCTACATTTTTAAACCACCCCATACCTCTTTGACCCCTTGCCCCATGCTCTCATTTCCCATCTATCCCCAATAGCTGTTTATACTTACCCCAACGCTCCTCTTTTAGTTTATAAACTTCACCCTTCTTCCCCGATGCTTCTTTCTCCTTGTATCCCATCTACCTTTTATCCGTTAGCTACAACTAGGGAAGTGATTGAATATCTGGGCCCCCCCTATAAACATGACATCCTGAATTTACTTAACACTTTTTTCTACCAATAATTCCAACAAACTATGTCATTCGCCCCACATCATATTTGTATTCTTTTTTAACCTCTTTTTCTAAAAAAATTTTATTAACCCATAACTAAACCCTTTTTTTTTCAAAGTTCAATCAAAAGGGGTCCCCTTATCATTTTCAAACCCGGGACCCCCCAAATTACCTACCCACCCGTCTTAAAAAATTTTTCCTACTTTAGCATTCAGGGCCCCCACCACAATTACTCTCTCACTTGGTTCAAAGGCTCCTATACATTCACTTAAATCTCCCAAAATCTCTCTCTCTCCTCTGCATTCCTCTCTTCTCCAGGTGCATACACGCTTATTATACCCACTTCTCGCATCCAACCTTACTTTAATCCACATAATTCTTGAATTTACACATTCATATTCTCGTTTCTCCTTCCATAACTGATCATTCAACATTACTGCTACCCCTTCCTTTGCTCTAACTTTCTCAGATACTCCAGATTTAATCCCATTTATTTCCCCCACTGAAACTCCCCTACCCCCTTCAGCTTTGTTTCGCTTAGGGCCAGGACATCCAACTTCTTTTCATTCATAACATCAGCAATCATCTGTTTCTTGTCATCCGCACTACATCCACGCACATTTAAGCAATCCCAGTTTTATAAAGTTTTTCTTCTTCTCTTTTTAGTAAATGTCTACAGGAGAAGGGTTACTAGCCCATTGCTCCCGGCATTTTAGTCGCCTCAATACGACACGCATGGCTTACGGAGGAAAGATTCTTTTCCACTTCCCCATGGACAATAGAAGAAATAAAGAGGAACAAGAGCTATTTAGAAAAAGGAGAAAACCTAGATGTATGTATATATATATGCATGTTCTTTCTGTAAAGTGTGACCAAAGTGTAAGTAGGAGTACAAGATATCCCTGTTATCTAGCGTGTTTATGAAAGAAAAAGAAACCAGAATACCTACCATCATGCAAAACAGTTACAGGTTTCTGTTCACAGTCATTTTGGCAGATGAGTACTTCCCTGGGTGGTTGCTGTCTACCAACCTACTACCTACAATATATATATATATATATATATATATATATAATATATAATATATATATATATATATATTATATATATATATATATATAATATTTATATATATATAAAGAAAATATTCAAACAGCTCCGGGAGAACTTGAGTTTTCTCTGAGTACGTTATTTGTCTTCTCTAGATTGAGGTCCCCATTCCAGCTATAGAGGTGGTCTTCCCTATATATTATTATAAAAAAAAATACATACATAAAATATATATATATTTATATATATATATATATATATAACATATATATATACATGTATATATTTATTTTATATATTCTGGGGCTTAATATATTGTATTTCTGCTTTAACATGTCTAATATTGTGGCTTGGGTCCAGGTCAATGGTCGAATAATATCTATCTTGATCAAATATTTCCATTATGTGTTCAGTTGGTTCTTAAGGGCTTTTATTCTATTTGCATTTATAGCTTCAGTGGGAAGTTTGTTATAAGGGCCAAAAACGAGACATAAACCAGAATAAGTGTTGCAAACATAGTCGAGTTTTATGCAGTTGTTTCACTTTACTGAATCACTTAGAACTTTAAGTAGTTCTTTGTACAGTTTGAATTTCTTTATGATTTTAAAAGCTTGAATAAAATCTTAAATTCTTCGTTTCATATAGGAGAATAGAATAAGTACTTTGTAGCTTTCTCTATAGGGTTCGTCTCTCGATAAAAGCTACATCAATTCTTACTCTGTTTCTGCATTTCCAAAACTAGACAACAGGAGGCCTGACGAGTGTGTTATAGTGTCAGTACTCTTTCTGGTTCTGTACTCGAAATTTCTGTCTATGAAAAATACTGATGCAGCCCTGGCTTAAGCTCCCCAAATTGAAACCCTGACTGTGCTTGAAACCTACTATATATAAGGCGTAGCTAATGACTGTCCAAAAACCCTTCTCTTCTTACGGGAGTCAGATTGAAGGGTTAGTGTTACAGTGTACCTGTTAGGCTGGTTCCAGACGCATAGCATTTTATTGCTACAATACTTTGTATTTTTGGTTACTTAAATTTATTTGTAGCCCTCACGATGAAAGGAAAATTATCATTAATTAACATTTATTTATATGTACATGCGTGCCTCAGCGTTCAGCATGGTGCTGGGCGTGTGGATGGCGTGCCTGGTACTGGCGGTGTGGGGGTGTGGTGTAGGCGCATTCTGGGGCGTGATAAATATGCTGACGGTGGACTATGTGGGTCTCGACAACCTCCTGCTGTTCTCGTCTGTGTCCAGCCTCATCAACTGCGTCTGGTTGCTGGTGTTTAGTCCTCTCTTCGGTAAGACAAGTTGGGAAATGTTTTCTTGGGGAGGAATCGTCAGCATATAGCATTTATTGTTGGTATTCCTTTTTTTTTTTTGCCAACACTAACTGCAGAAGTAGACGCTGATGTAGTGATATACGGTATAACAATACCGTGTGTCAGTACTATATATCATGTATATTACCGTTTTACAATAACGGTAATATACATCATATTCCACGAAACAAAATTTTAAGTTTATGAATCCACGAGAAAACAAATTGTTATTTTTACCACCATATGAATTATGTTTTGCCTGCAGTTTGCACATGTGTGTATTGGCGGGTTTTGTAATAAGTTCGCTGATTATTGCTACTACCAGCAGCTACTTCATTAGACATCCACAGCTCATCTGCTGCTCATGTTGTGAGCAGTTGTTTGCTGTCCGGTCACATCTCATCCTGTGATCGGTACTATATCGTACATCCACAGCTCATCCTATGAGTGATAGTATATGTTGTATTCTGGAGAAACTTCAGCTAAGTAATTAAATATTACCCTCACTGCCCAGTTAATATTTGATCTGCAATTTCCCTAATGTTGTCACTCTTATTTCTCTTCTGAAGCTGCCTAGTCTCCCAGATAGCAACCAATGTATAAGGGTAAACTGAAGCACTATTCGCTACCACTCAAAAATGGTTAGGTCATACTTGTAACATCCAGCTCCTGCCGTTGTCCTAGCAGCTCTCAGAGGTTAATATTCAGCCAGGGTGAAGAATCCTTCCTCCAGTGTATGTGTGATAGCCTAATTCTGTAAGATGAATAATAACAAATAATAACAAAAATCTCCAGTTAGATTGAGAGAATATAAGCGATTATTATTGAAAAATTTCGCATCTAGCGGTTTATGACATGTTAGCGTATAAAAAATTTAATTTACTTATTGGCTAAAAGTATCGTAAAGTAACTACTTGCCATTTATAAACTTGAAGCTACTTGTATACAATGGCTATTTAGTGTGCCAGCTAATAAATTCTGTTTAATTCAAACAATTGAGAATCACATAGACGGTTTCAGGAGGCAGCGTGTATTGTAATAAGTAGAAATAAGGTGAAAAATAACTCAGAAGAGGAGACGGTCACTTTATTGACCTATTTATTGAGAGGGGTAAAAAAAATAAAAAGGAAAGTCAAAAGAGGTGAAATTAAGGTTGTTAGGAAATGTAACTCAGGTCAACTTACTCTTAGTGGAAAAAATATATTTATACACAAGAGGATACAAATGCAAATCTGGAGATCAATAATTACACAGGCCATTACGAAAATAATTTATACTAAAACAAAGTCACTAGTAACAAGAAACTCACATGTACACACTCAACTTGAAGACTGAGACACTTATGCAACATATTGGAATCTTTATTGAAGAAACGTTTCGCCACACAGTGGCTTCATCAGTTCAGTACAAATCAGAAGGTTGTAAGGAGAGGAGGAGCTTGAGGTAATCAGTCCCTCAGCCTGGAGTCGATGTGTTCAGTCCATCAATCTTGTAGAAAGTACAGGATAGGGCCGTACAAGTGGCTTATATACTGTAGTCAGGTGATGCTGCAGCATCATGCTGACTACATGAGATCTTAATACAAAGAATTCTTCAAAACTTGTCCAACCTTTGAACGAAGACCTACTTCGACTAGTGGATGGTACCACTATGACCCCGCCTCCTCCTGCTTCGCCTCACCACGTCTACGGTCCTATGCTGTACATTCTACAAGACTGATGGACTGAACACATCGACTCCAGGCTGAGGGACTGATTACCTCAAACTCCTCCTCTCCTTAAACCCTTCTGATTTGTATTGGACTGATGAAGCCGCTGTGTGCCGAAACGTTTCCTCAATAAAGATTCCAATATGTTACATAAGTGTCTCAATCTTTAACTTGTCTTTTTTTTTAACCATTTATCACACACTCAACTAACTTACTGTCGAAGTGTTCCGCCTGTGCAGCAGGCTTCTTCAGTCAAATACAGGAGATTATAACACTGGAGACAGTAGAAATGGAGGAATAATTCTGAAGTGATCGATTCCACATCCTTGATAGTAGGTGGTTAGTCCCTTACCTCTCCAGTTTTCCACTGATATTAGTTTTAATATTTCTTTACATAATTTTATTGAACGACTGGATTACGATGATAGCATATCCAATTGTCTATGCAGCTATGATATCATGGGAAGCATCACATTCACCACTCTGCGTTTCCAGGTCTGATTCTAGACAAGAGTGGCAGCTACACTGTGAGTCTCAGTGTTCTGGGAGCCGTGATGGGTCTCACCTTCGTCTGCTGGCTCTTCATGCCTGCTGCAGTTGCTTACGACATGCGCAAGGAGGTTGAGCAGCAGCAACAGCTTCAGCAAACAGCAGTGGAATTAGAGCCAGTAGCAGTAGAATGACAACAAGCAGCAGAAGCAGAACCAAAAGAGTGTTGGAACCGGAAACACCAGAAGCAGTGAGAAACAACAACAACAGCAGTCAGAAATATCAACATTAATAAAGAGAAACGACAACAAAATTATGAGTAATAACCATCTAAGTTTCCAGCACCAGCAATTTCACGAACACGAGAGCTACTAGCACCAGCAGCTTTACAACCATCAGAACTATCAACTGGCAGCTTCACAACCATCAGAACTACCAACATTGGCAGCTTCACAACCATCAGAACTACCAACACTGGCAGCTTCACAACCATTAGAACTACCAACAGTGGCAGCTTCACAACCATCAGAACTACCAGCAGCGGCAGGTTCACAACCATCAGAACTACCAACACTGGCAGCTTCACAACCATCAGAACTACACACACTGGCAGCTTCACAACCATCAGAACCATCAACTAGCAGCTTCACAACCATCAGAGCTACCAACACTGGCAGCTTCAGAACCGTCAGAAGTACCAAAACTGGTGGCTTCTCAACCATCAGAACTATCAACTGGCAGCTTCACAACCATCAGAACTACCAAGAGTGTCAGCTTCACAGCAATCAGAGCTATCAACACTGGCAGCTTCACAACCATCAGAACTATCACCAGTGGCAGCTAGAGAGCCATCAGAACTATCAACAGTGGTAGCTCCACAACCATCACAACTTCCAAAAGTGGCAGTTTCACGACCATTAGAACTACCAACAGTAGCAGCTTCACAATGATCGGAACTACTAACAATGGCAGCTTCACAACCATCAGAGCTACCAACTCTGACAGCTTCACAACCATCAGAACTATCAACTGACAGCTTCACAACCATCAGAACTACTAACACTGGCAGCTTCACAACCATCAGAATTATCAACTGGCAGCTTCACGACCATCAGAACTACCAAAGTGGCAGCTTCACAACCATCAGAACTGCCAACACTGGCAGCTTCACAACCATCAGAACTACCAACAGTGGCAGCTTCACAACCATCAGAACTACCAGCAGTGGCAGGTTCACAACCATCAGAACTACCAACACTGGCAGCTTCAGAACCGTCATAAGTACCAATCTGGTGGCTTCTCAACCATCAGAACTGTCAACTGGCAGCTTCACAACCATCAGAACTACCAAGAGTGTCAGCTTCACAGCCATCAGAGCTACCAACACTGGCAGCTTCACAACCATCAGAACTACCAACACTGGCAGCTTCCCAACCATCAGAATTACCAACACTGGCAGCTTCACAACCATCAGAACTTCCAAAAGTGGCAGTTTCACAATCATTAGAACTACCGACAGTGGCAGCTTAAAAATCATCGGAACTACCACCAGTGGAAGCTTCACAACCATCAGAACTACCACCAGTAGCAGCTTCACAGACATCAGAACTAACAACAGTGGTAGCTTCACAACCATCAGAACTACCACCAGTGGTAGCTTCACAGACATCAGAACTACTAACACTGGTAGCTTCACAACCATCAGAACTATCAATTGGCATCGTCACAACCTTCAGAACTACCAACACTGGCAACTTCACAACCATCAGAACTACCAACAGTGCCAGCTTCACAACCATCAGAAGTACCACCATTGACAGCTTCACAACCATCAGAACTACCACCAGTGGCAGCTTCACAACCATCAGAACTATCACCAATGGCAGCTTTACAGCCATCAGAACTATCAACAGTGGTAGCTCCACAACCATCAGAACTACCAACACTGGCCGCTTAACAGCCATCAGAACTACCAACACTGGCAGCTTCACAACCATCAGAACTACAAACACTGGGAGCTTCACAACCATCAGAACTACCAACAGTAGCAGCTTCACAACCATCAGAACTGCCAACACTGGCAGCTTCACAACCATCAGAACAACCAACAGTGGCAGCTTCACAACCATCGGACCTACCAGCAGTGGCATGTTCACAACCATCAGAACTACCAACACTGGAAGCTTCAGAACTGTCAGAAGTACCATCACTGGTGGCTTCTCAGCCATCAGAACTATCAACTGGCAGCTTCACAACCATCAGAACTACCAAGAGTGTCAGCTTCACAGAAATCAGAGCTACCAACACTGGCAGCTTCACAACCATCAGAACTACCAACACTGGCAGCTTCACAACCATCAGAACTACCAACACTGGCAGCTTCACAACCATCAGAACTTCCAAAAATGGCAGTTTCACAACCATTAGAACTACCGACAGTGGCAGCTTAAAAGTCATCCGAACTACCACCAGTGGAAGCTTCACAACCATCAGAACTACCACCAGTGGCAGCTTCACAGACATCAGAACTAACAACAGTGGTAGCTTCACAACCATCAGAACTACCACCAGTGGTAGCTTCTCAGACGTCAGAACTACTAACACTGGTAGCTTCACAACCATCAGAACTATCAATTGGCATCCTCACAACCTTCAGAACTACCAACACTGGCAACTTCACAACCATCAGAACTACCAACAGTGCCAGCTTCACAACCATCAGAACTACCACCATTGACAGCTTCGCAACCATCAGAACTACCACCAGTGGCAGCTTCACAACCATCAGAACTATCACCAGTGGCAGCTTTGCAGCCATCAGAACTATCAACAGTGGTAGCTCCACAACCATCAGAACTACCAACACTGGCCGCTTAACAGCCATCAGAACTACCAACACTGGGAGCTTCACAACCATCAGAACTACAAACACTGGGAGCTTCACAACCATCAGAAATATCAACTAGCAGCTTCACAACCATCAGAACTACCAACACTGGCAGTTTCACAAATATCAGAACTACCAGAAGTGGCGGTTTCACAACCATTAGAACTACCAACAGTGGCAGCTTCACAATCATCGGAACTACCAACAGTGGCAGGTTCACAACCATCAGAAATACCACCATTGGCAGCTTCACAACCATCAGAACTACCACCAGTGGCAGCTTCACAACCATCAGAACTACCACCATTCGCAACTCCACAACCATCAGATCTACCAACACTGGCAGCTTCACAACCATCAAAACTACCAACACTGGCAGTTTCACAAATATCAGAACTACCAAAAGTGGCAGTTTCACAACCATTAGAACTACCAACAGTGGCAGCTTCACAATCATCGGAACTACCAGCAGTGGCAGCTTCACAACCATCTATACTACCAACAGTGGCAGGTTCACAACCATCAGAAATACCACCATTGGCAGCTTCACAACCATCAGAACTACCACCAGTGGCAGCTTCACAACCATCAGAACTACCACCATTGTCAGCTCCACAACCATCAGATCTACCAACACTGGCAGCTTCACAACCATCAGAACTAACACTGGCAGCTTCACAGCCATCAGAACTACCAATAGTGGCAGTTTCACAACCATCAAAACTACCACCATTGACAGCTTCACAACAATCAGAACTACCACCAGTGACAGCTTCACAACCATCAAAATTATCACCAGTGGCAGCTTGACAGCCATCAGAACTACCAACAGTGGTAGCTCCACAACCATCAGATCTACCAACACTGGCAGCTTCACAACCATCAGAACTACTAACACTGGTAGCTTCACAACCATCAGAACTATCAACTGGCATCTTCACAACCATCAGAACTACCAACACTGGAAGCTTCACAACCATCAGAACGACCAACACTGGCAGCTTCACAACCATCAGAACTACCAACACTGGCAGCTTTACAACCATCAGAACTACCAACTAGCAGCTTCACAAGCATCAGAACTACCAACAGTGGCAGCTTCACAACCATCAGAACTACGAACATTGGCAGCTTCACAACCCTCAGAACTACCAACACTGACAGCTTCACAATCATCAGAACTACAAACACTGGAAACTTCACAACCATCAGAACTACCAACATTGGCAGCTTCACAACCATCAGAACTACCAACACTGACAGCTTCACAATCATCAGAACTACAAACACTGGAAACTTCACAACCATCAGAACTACCAACATTGGCAGCTTCACAACCATCAGAACTTCGAAAAGTGGCAGTTTCACAACAATCAGATCTTCCAAAAGTGGCAGTTTCACAACCATTAGAACTACCAACAATGGCAGCTTCACAATCATCGGAAGTACCAACAGTGGTAACTCCACAACCATCAGAACTACCACCATTGGCATCCTTCACAACCATCAGAACTACTACCAGCGGCAGCTTCACAGACATCATAACTGCCAACAGTTGTACCTCCACAACCATCAGATCTACCAACACTGGCAGCTTCATAACCATCAGAGCTACTAACACTGGTAGCTTCACAACCATCAGAACTATCAACTGGCATCTTCACAACCATCAGAACTACCAACAGTGGCAGCTTCACAACCATCAAAACTACCACCATTGACAGCTTCTCAACCATCAGAACTACCACCAGTGGCAGCTTCACAACCATCGGAACTATCACCTGTGGCAGCTTGACAGCCAATAGAACTACCAACAGTGGTAGCTCCACAACTATCAGAACTACCAACACTGGCAGCTTCACAACCATCAGAACTATCAACAGCAGCTTCACAACCATCAGAACTACCAACAGTGGCAGCTTCATAACCATAAGAACTACCAACAGTGGCAGCTTCACAACCATCTGAACTACCAAAACTGGCAGCTTCACAACCATCAGAACTACCATCACTGACAGCTTCACAACCATCAGAACTATCAACTGGCAGCTTCACAACCATATGAACTACTAACACTGGTAGCTTCACAACCATCAGAACTATCAACTGGCAGCTTCACAACCATCAGAACTACCAGCAGTGTCAACTTCACAACCATCAGAACTGCCAGCACTGGGAGCTTCACAACCATCAGAACTACCAACAGTGGCAGCATCACAACCATCAGAACTACCAGCAGTGGCAGGTTCACAACCATCAGACCTACCACGACTGGCAGCTTCACAACCATCAGAACTACAAAGACGGGCA